CCACACGCACACTCACGCGCGCACACACAACATATACATCGCCAATTCAAGAGTTAAAACCGACAGATATGTATTCTCCGCTATGCCTAACACAGGTAAGTGACATTTTCGTCTGTTATTAACTCTGTTTGTTGCTTTTCAGCGGTGTCTTTTGCCGGGACGGCACGGATAGAGACTAACCTTTGCTTAAGACAAGTAACTTAGTGTGCACTAAGGCATTTCTGCGTTGACAGAGCCAAGTTAACTACCACATGGCGGATGGCGCCCACCTCTCGTACATATATGTTTTTATGCACATTTCTGTCGTTCTTTCTTTTTTTTCTACGTGCTTTTGCACGGAAAGCGAGGTGCTTATTTAGCAAGTTAAGCTTTAAATAGCGCTGTATGTGAACGTAAACGTTGCACTAAGCTTGCAGAGTCAACGGTGTGCACGTTGGATTTGGTTGCACTTTTAAAACATTGTTTTTAATTGTTGTTTGATTTACAACATACGAGTAAACTTATTGACTTGTTTTATGGTTGTTTAAAGATTACAAAGTTGCATTTGTGGGTTCACTTTGAGTTTCTTTAAAGCAGCAGAACTCAAAATAAAAAAGTATTTACGGTGGAAATCAATCTGTTTCCCTAGTTCATCCTAATAAGGACCTTATTTTAACATTTTATAAACGCATCTATTCATATATTTTAGCAGCTTTTTATTTTTGAATGAAGTTTCAATGCTGCTGTGCAGTTTTACATTATTAACTTTAGTTAGAACCAGCTGCAGGCAATAAAAATCTCTTATATGTGAGACTTTTTTTCACCGCATCAGAACAGTTTTTAAATTTTTTGCAAGCCTTACTGTCACTGCATTTCTGATATTTAGTAGCAGCTGTGTACAAAAAAAAAACCCTTCTGAGGGCTAAAATTCTCAAATGAACATTTTACTGGTAAAAACGAAGACCACTTAATGCAAGTTTGTAAATGCATGCAGCTTTATTTTTATTGCTTATTGTGCAATAAAAAGTAAAGCGGAATAAAGTTAGGACAGCAACCGAGAGGGTTAAAGGAGCTTTCAAAAGAAACCCATTCATTGTCTGAATCATGGTGGCAGGTGAAGTGAGGTGACAGTTCTGGAAAAGCTGTGTAGACTTGATGTGATTTTAAACTGTTTGGTTAAATGAGTTTTATTAAATGCACAAAACAAAAGGAGAAGGCCTCAGCATTGTGCTGCATGCAGGGACGTTCCTTTTACCGTGTTAGTTACAGTTTGTTTAGAGAGGATTCCTGTGGAAAAAAAAGAGACAAATTATGTGTATGGAGAAAGAAGAGCTGATAAAGTTCTCCAAGTGCTCTTTTTTATAGATCTGATTAGGCGAGTTTGCTTTAAGTTGTTTTATAGCTTGCATATTTCTGTTAGAAATGCTTGCATGATCTGTTACGGAAGGATTTGATAATTTACCAAACGCTGTAAATGTGTCATATAAGCACTGACTGACACTTTACATAAGAGGTTGTGTATTTCTAATTACATTTGTCACTTAAAATAGCAATATTTGTAAATATTATGATTGAGAAAATTGAGAACAAGTGCAAAAATTAAGTAATAATCAAAGTAATTTGACAGCAACATTCATAAAAAGTCAAAAATCCATTGATTTCCTCTCGATTACAGTTTTAAGGCAGCATGAGTTCTGCTCTCTCTCCCCCTCTCTCTCTCTCTCTCTCTCTCTCTCTCTCTCCCTCTGTCTCTCTCTCTCTCTCTCTCTCTCTCTCTCTCTCTGTGTGTGTGTGTGTGTGTCATGTTTGAGTACTCAAACAGTCATCTGAGTGCCAGAAAATACTTTATACTGTTTTTTTTTTAAATCTTAAAATCAAAGCAAGCTTTTTTTAATTTTTAGTTGATTCAGAAAACAACATTTATATCTTTTGCTAGTAAATGAATGCTTTTCATTTTATTAGTCATCCGTTTTCTTTTATATTTACAGTATATGCATGTTTAAAACTTTTGTTTTTTTAAATCTTGGCCACGAGGCACTATTGTTCCCTGCTGAGGCCTTTCTTTCTATAGGACACCGAGGTTCAGCTTGAAACACTTTAGGAGTCTGGAAAAACCTGACATGCTAACCAGACCCTATATTGACACTCCAACACACTCCAAACACGCTGTTTGTTCTGGCACCAGGAGCGTTTTCGCAAATTGCTCGTATTCTGACCCCCCCAAAAAAGAGAGAAGGAGCGCTCATAATTATCTTAAATTTTAATAATTTGCACATACAATTAGTCTTTAATCTAGAGATAAATCTGCATAAAGTTTTTACAGTAAAATCAATATTTGTGTAGGCAACAGATCTTTTCTTTAATAAAAAAGAATGTGCAAAAAGCCACAACAAAAGATCATATCAGTTATTGAGGAACTATATTTCACAGACTTTGGATTAAGTTACTTGGAGAGCCAGCGAAGGAAGATAAGAGAAAAAAATCATTCAGTGGTTTAAATGCAGGATGAAACAATAGTTTTTTTTTATGCCTCGGAGGCGATGGAGTTTGATTCTCGTACAAGACAGGAAGGAAACAATATGATTAAACGTATACGACACACACATTGTTCCGTACACTGTAATAATGATATAGGCTTATGCAAATCCCAGATTTCCTGTGGTGTAACAAAAGAGATGTGGCAATATGTATCTATATGATGTCTTGTTGTTAAGTCCACACGTATAATAACGCAGTAATCGCATGCAAACAGTGCCAGCTTTTTGTGATAAGGGTTTATTTATTTTTTTAAATTAGCAGCAGTGCCTGAAATTACTCCTGAGAAATTAATTGAATTAATATCCCAAAATTGCACCGAATGAATTGTTCGGCACTGGTCCGCGTTGTATTCATATATCTGTGTGTATTCAAATGAAATCTGCACTTTGCTTGCTCGCTGGCAGCCCTCTCGTGCTCTCGCACGGTCGGTTTTGGGACACGATGCAGGGCTATTGCTGTTTGTGGAAATGTTATTCTAGTGATTGGCAGTCTGCCATTATTCTCTCTATGTAATATAAACCCTGAGTTATTTTCTGCGTAAAAACTCACATTATTTCATATTAGACACTGCACGTTGTTTATTTGCCCTATTATTAGTGTTTATAATTTATTTCTTTTAGGCAAGAGATGGACATGAGGGCCTAGAGATGCAGAAATGCACATCATAATTGTGGTGATAAGTGTTCAATAAAACTTAAGCGTTAAATATAAATATTATATATATAGTCATTGCATTGTGGAGCTTTCCCAAATTTTTTGCATCTGAACAGAAATGTTGTATTAATTTTAATTAAAATATCATCTTTGTAGATTACAAAAAACTAAACGAGAATGCAGACATCTTAAAGCCACAGCCGACACTTCAAAATTCGTCTTTTTTTGTCGTCAGATTCTAAAAATTGATTTTCTGCCAGGTTGTGCACCAGCGGCAGGTGAAGGGATCCCAAAACCCGGCACAATCTGCCCCGCACACACACTCCTGTGTGAAAACAACACACTCCTCGCTGATAGCGAACGCTTTTTTGGAATCGTGTGTGCATTTTTATGAAGAACAGATAAAAATAGCCACTTCAATTTTCCTGGTCGGTTGTTGCTTTTTCTCGGCCCTGGCAGACCCCTACAGACCAGCATTCTTGCCAGAGAGCCAAGATATGTCCTAGACGAGCTTCACACACACACACACCAACACACACACACTGCCCTGCTCGGTTCACAGACACACTCCTGCTGTTGAGGGCCGTTTTTCAAAATAATCAAACGGGATTTTATGTAGATGTGCACGTTTCGCTTTCATGGAGTCTGATGTGGGAAATCTGTTGTTATTTCTGTACGTCATGTTCAATTTGACATCTTTTAAAAGCAAAATTGCAGATGCTTATTAGGAAATATATCATGTAACTTAATGAGGTATAATATTGATATATAAAGTTAATTGAATTAACTTGCCTAAATTATGTGCTTAATGCTAAATATAAAAATGGAACATTTTATACTTTTTTGTTATATGTTTATGTTTAGCTTTTAAAGGGTTCTGCTTTTTTTTAGGTTGTTTTAGCACTTAGCTTGGCTTTAATTTAAATAAAAATATATATTTTGTTAAACTTTTTTATTATTTTTATATTATTGTTATTATTATTATTATTATTATTATTATGTAGGTGTGTATAATGAATCTTTCATGGTGTGTAAAGTCAAAAAAGTCTCATATTTATATAAAGATAGTTATTTATTTTTTTGTTTATTGAAAAATTGCAGAGGCTTATTAAACATATAATCTTGGTAGTAACTTACTAAATTATTACATTTTTCTATTATTGTTTACTGGTCTTTCATGGTGTCTGCATGTGCTATATTTGTACTTCAAATAGTTAATAAAAAAATAAACCAATTAATTTTGGTTTACACTTGCATATACAGTTGAAGTCAGAATTATTAGCCCCCGTTTATTTTTTTTTCCTAATTTTTGTTTAACAGAGAGATTTCTTTAACAAATTGAAAAGACATATTTCTAAACATAATAGGTAATCATTTCTAATAATAGATTTATTTTATATTTATCATGATGATAGTAAATAATATTTTACTAGATATTTTTCAAGACACTTGAGGCTATACTGCTTGAAAAGACATTTTAAAAATATAGCTTAAAGGGGTCAATAATTTTGACCTCAAAATGTTATTTTAAAAAATAAAAAAACTGCTTTTATTCTGGCCGAAATGTAACAAAGACAGTCTTCATCAGAAGAAATAATCTTATCAGACATACTGTGAAAATTTACTTGCTCTGTTAAACATCATTTTGGAAACATTAAAAAAAACAAAAAAAAAAAAAAAAAATCAAAGGGGGGCTAATAATTCTGACTTCAACTGTATCTGTTTGTCTACACACTATTCATTTATTTTTTCTCTCTGAAACTTAAACTGTGACTGACTTGGGTTGGCCATGTGGTCTCTAATTCCTGCTCTCCTGTCCTCCTTCGCAGGATGAATTCCATCCTTTCATTGAAGCACTGCTGCCCCATGTGAGAGCGTTTGCCTACACTTGGTTCAACTTGCAGGCCCGCAAGAGAAAATACTTCAAGAAGCACGAGAAGCGCATGTCGAAGGAAGAGGAGCGAGCCGTGAAGGACGAGCTGCTCAGCGAGAAGCCGGAGGTCAAGCAGAAGTGGGCATCGCGGCTGCTGGCCAAACTCCGCAAGGACATCCGGCCCGAGTTCCGCGAGGATTTTGTGCTCACCGTCACCGGGAAGAAGCCCCCTTGCTGTGTTCTCTCGAACCCCGACCAGAAGGGCAAGATGAGGAGAATCGACTGCCTGCGTCAGGCGGACAAAGTGTGGCGCTTGGACCTGGTCATGGTGATTTTATTCAAAGGTATTCCTCTTGAAAGTACTGACGGCGAAAGGCTGGTTAAGTCACCGCAGTGCTCGAACCCAGGGCTGTGCGTGCAGCCGCATCACATAGGAGTTTCCGTAAAGGAGCTCGACCTGTACTTGGCCTACTTCGTCCATGCAGGTAAGTCCATTTTTTGGATCTGTTTATTGTATAAAAATGCAAGTGACACCAAAACGCATTGTTTTTCCTATTCTGTATCATCTTTTATAGGATTTTAGCATTGAAAACCTGTCAGGAGTCAGTAATTTAGCTGATAAGGGTGTTAGATTGATACAACACGTACATTTTAAAGAAAAACAATGACATTTGGATAAAAGAAATGTAAATACGTGATCAATTTTACACGGACTTTTCTTTATTCAGGCTAAAAACAGACTTATCTATAATCACTCATCCTAATTGACTCCAAAATGTTAATTTATTTTACTTTATTACTTCATTTGCTGTGATTTTTAGATTTTATTCTTTACAATACATCAGTTTTGAAAAATAAGACATATCAAAAACAAATTTTTGGCGTCCATTTACCCCTAAAAGTAAAAGGAAAGAACTGATATTTGTTTGTGAATGTTTTCAAATCAAAAAAGGTGCAATCTATTCTGAGTATTTCTGTTCCATGTTTTGAATGCAACATGACCAACCAATAAAAATTCACTTATTTACTTCATATCCTTCAAAATACAAGTAAGAAGCTGGGATGAATGCTGTAATTTGGCAGAGATTGCTCCTTATGGATTGTGCAAATTAAAAATTGCCACATTTTTTTAAAAGCACATTTAGGAGAAAGACTTGCTGAATATGTATGTAAATTATTATTTTGAGAGTCAGTTCATCAAAAATGTGTAGTTATTTATTATAATTGTGTCCAGAAGTGATCAGATTGACTGCACTTTAATTTCACTACTTATATATCTATTTCAACTTAATTTTTTCTGCAGCATTTCTGCCCAAATAGGAAAAACAGTCTGAATATTTAACATGTAGAGGTGTTTTTCTGGTTAGGTTTTAAAAAAAGAAAGACACGAATAATTTATCTTCTTAATTGCATCCCAAAATGTGAATCCACCTTCCAGATCTGTGTATTTTGTTTAAATTTATTCGACTGTTTTAGGATTTTACCATTTATAGTCTATCAAAATTCAGTAAGGAAGTTTGTAAGAATAGTGTAGGTCTGTCAGATTCCTTTGCTCTCTCCTGTGCAACTTCCTTTTCGCAGCCTTTCCCAATAAAACAATGCAGGAAACCCTAGCCTAACATGTAAATACATGACTAATTTGACAGTGCATTTTCAGAAATGTGAGTTCCTTATTGCGCAACACCAAACACCAAAACTGCAACTGTCTGTCGAGTGGTTTAGCCTGCATGTGAGGAGCTAACATGGAAAGTCCGGCACAAATATCTGCCGGAGAGACTGCTAATTGGCAGAAGACGGCAGGGGATCCGTCTTGCGCTGACAGCGGCACAAACACAAGCTTTCACTTGGAAGACAAGAAGCACACTTTGTTTCGCCAGGCAAACCCCAGCACCTTAATTACATTCATTTCCTTTTGCGCGCAAAAACTGTGCCACTGGAGTTGGCAACACGCGCATCCGCCGTTCCCTGCGTTCAGCGCGGACTCATGCTTTGATGCGGTGCCGATAAAAGAGGGGAAAAACGCGTCGTATCCAGAAGACGGCAGAGATAAAGCTGTAAAATGCATGCTTTAGCGCCGTGTAGGAAAAATCGGGCCTATCTGGCATACAGCAGGTTGCTAAACGGGAGCGTGTGAATTACGTTGACTTGCTAGAAACACAAAGGCCCAGAGCCTTTGAGGTTTCTTTTTGTGAGGATAAGTACGACACCATCCCTGAAACACGTCCCAAGCAAAAAAAATCCTTAGTTTTGATGTTGCTGAAAGCCTATTGAAAGCCTGCTAACATCGTAATCGGTTGAGGTTACGTTGTCTTTTTGATTCACACTGAATAAGAGACGTCAGCGAGAGAACAAGAGGAGAAAAGACGCAGGAGTCTCTCTCTCTCTGACCTGCATACGGGCCGATCGGGTTTCCTCCTCTGTCTTATTTAAAGCAGTGGAGCATTGCTGGAGCCCCGTTGATTAAAAGCCATCTGAAGAGAGCCTGACCTCATACACAGATGGCCAAAGTGGGGCTTCTGAGAGGAGCTAAAGTCAGTAATTAAATTTATCCCACAGTCCTGCCAGGGCAAAGAGGTGCGGGCCAGCAAGCACAGTCACTTCATCTAGACAATAACACTGCTACCTATCGATATTAGCGGAAATGGCTGGAAAAGAGCATTCAATTATGTGTGGGTCGTCAGAGAATAGACATAAGTCAGTTGGACTACCCTCCTTCCCCTCCTGCACTCCAAAAATGATTTTGCTGCTTGTCCATACTATTTATTTAAAATGAGCTGAAACAACACAGTTTTGGAGATTTTTTTGGGGGAGAACTTAATTGTTTTATGTTCAATCTACTTAAATTTGTTAAGTTAATTGAATTGTGTTGGAACAACATGAATGAATTGTGTGGAATCCAGCATTTTTAGTGTAAATGTTGGAATTCCTTTAAGACTACTACAGTGTGTTTACTAAGGTTTTTTTCTGTAGTAAGTTTAGGTTTGTTTTCCTTCACAGTTATTTCAACATTTTCAGGTATTTTATTATAATAATCTGTACTTGGTGTACTGGGTATCTGTACATATACTTAGGAGGAAACTTAAGCCCGGATCAATCAATTCTTTCAGTATCTTTCTATTACATTTTAAGGTTAAGCATCATTTTTCATTCATCAGTATATTTGCACACGTTGAGTAGGTCTTTGAATTTGGATGTGTAAGTTTGTATTTGTCAGTGTTTAAGACGTTTTAGGTGATTTTAATAATTTCTTAAATCTGTTCTCATCATTTGTCATATGATTATTTTTGTAAATATTTCTTAAATTGTATCATGTAAGATGGAGTTAATTTCCCAGTGATGGGTTGCGGCTGGAAGGGCATCCGCTGCGTAAAAATGTGCTGGATAAGTTGACGGTTCATTCCGCTGTGGCGACCCCGGATTTATAAAGGGACTAAGCCGACAAGAAAATGAATGAAGATGGAGTTCATAATTGTCAGTACTTTTAAATATTTGCACATTTCCTCCTCATATATTACTGCAACTATATTTCTCAGAACCTGTCTTTGAAAATTCCCTTGTTTTTATCTCAGTAGGCGCACGGTTCATTATTTTAGTCAGACGTTATAAATCTCTTAACAGAAAGTAACACGAGAAGCAGAAAAAGAGACAAAAGTGCTGTTGGCTGAGGCCTGAGGACTCGCGACCATGGCTAATTTACGGCAGGAGCACTCCACACGTGGGAGAGGTCACGGCTTAAGATGTTAGGGTCATGACCCCATCTTCAAGGCATTTGACCTCCTAGATAAACATCCACTCCCATTAGCAGCCAGTCAAGCGGAGGGCAAGCTTTGGTTTTGGGTTGCCCCCGTGACCTCCTGTTAAAACAGGTGGTTTTGTTTGGGCCACAGAGTGGCGTGCCGTTTAAACCAGCCGAAAGAAGAGGCTAATGGCCGTGGAGACCCAGACTGGCATACGTTTCCTTTATGCATTAGTTTTGGGAACTATATGAAGTTCTGCTACTGTAAGATCTGTATGTTATCAGTTCATTTATTAATGTGTTTTACAGTGATTATTCCATTTCTTTATATTTTAATTGACAGAATAATTTGAAATTGTAAAATTTTTAATTAATTAATTTGTTTGGTATGTATGTATGTATTTAGGAGTGTTTGTATATATATATATATATATATATATATATACACACACACACACACAAAGATACAGTTAAAGTCAGAATTATTAGCCCCCTTTTAATTTTTTTTTCTTTTTTAAATAAATCACAACTGATATAATTTTTTTTTTCTTCTGGAGAAAGTCTTATTTGTTTTATTTCAGCTAAAATAAAAGCAGTTTTAAATTTTTTTTTATTATTTCAAGATCAGAATTATTAGCCTTTTTTAAGCTATATTTGTTTCGATGGTCTATAGAATAAACCATCATTATACAATAACTTTCCTAATTACCCAAACCTATCTATTTAACCTAATAGGGTATGTGCCGAGCTAGTGTTTTTCCCTTACTGATAAACTTCCGGTGACCTGTAATTGCGGATATCACTCTGCCAGTGGAGATTGCTGATTTTTAAAGAAAACTGACCTTAAATATGCCAATTTTTGCATTGGCATTGGAAACGCTTAACCCAGGTCACTGGCAAATTCAAAGTCCTATTAGCATGCTTCGGCATATATCCTATTAACCAAGTTTAGCCTTTAAATGTCTCTTTAAGCTGTATAGAAGTGTCTTGAAAAATATCTAGTAAAATATTATGTACTGTCATCATGGCCTAGATCAAATATATCAGTTATTAGAAATGAGTTAATAATTCTGACTTCAACTGTATATATTTTAAATTAATCTTTAGATGTGGAAGAGTTTCACTAACTTTTTTATGTGTTCATTAAGGTTCCATATTTTTCTGTAATATGTAAATATATTGACACGGGGTAATATATTATATGGCTTATTTAGTTAATAAGTCAATATGCAAGTAATTATGCGATAAATAAGTTAACATTTTTTTAAATATGTCTGAATTACTTTAATTGTGGATTTTTTAAAGGGACAGTTCACCCAAAAATGTTTATTAAATGAATATTATGTCATTATTTACTCACCCTTGAAAACGTTTCTTTATTCTGTTGAACACAATAGAAGACATTTTGAATAAAGCTAAAAAGCTGTATCCACTGACCTCCATAATATTTGTCTGGATTCTTCAAAATATCTTCTATTGTGTTCAACAGAATAAAACAACTCTTGTCAATCGAACCACTTGTTGATGATATTCATTTTTTGTTGTACTGTCTCTTCAAATCTTTCACGTCTCCAACATATTTTTTTCCTAAATCTATCTTTTTTGTTTCAATGTATCTATGTTTATATCCCTCAGTACTTGAATATATTTTTCTTAAAATATGTATCTATTGAAAGTTTCAGTTTTGTTTATACACAAGTCTAAACGATTATTTTTAAGATGGCAAAAAAATTAGTGTGAAGTATTAAA